ACATATACTACTATATATATATATATATATATATATAGTACACACAGGTTTGGATACGCACATATACTACTGATGACTTGCACTTTGGGAACATACGTATCGCATTTTTAGATGTTGATGTCCGAGCTCTACGCTTAAACACACAATTGTTTATTATTACATACACACTCATAGAACACACCATGGTATAAAATATAATTACTTAGACACTCATTATGCACGCAATGGTATATTATATAATTACTTCGACGCTCATTATACACGCAATGGTATATATTTACATAATTACAACGCTGAATCGTTAAACCCTACGTACTGCTTCTTGTGTGCACACCACACCGTACTGCTAAACTATCGCCCAGTGTTCAGTAGCCTGGGTTTAGGGTTTTAAGGTTTTAGTATCGCTCAGCGTTGAGTGGTCCTCTGACGGTCTCCACAAGTACCGAACCATGTGTGATGTTTAGAGCGTATGTATGAGTGTTTAGGAGGGTATGTATGGGTGTACGGGGGGTATGTATAGGCGTTTGGGTCTCCTTATCCTCGTGTGTATATACCCCTCATCCTGGGATCGAGCATGTACGTAGGTCCATGACAAATTGCAAACCCAAAAACTCTAGAACCCTATATCATAGCCCCCTACATTTAACAAGGAGCGATAGTGTAGCTGTACACTGAGTTAAATAGAGGCAATGGAAATAGCATGCAAGTTCAAAACAATCAGTGTTAAAAGACCATTCGTATGTTTTAAAGTCCGCTTACTACCATGAGTATAAATGACCATCAGTATGCATTAAAGTACGTTTACTATTATCAGTATTAAAAGACCATCAGTATGTATTAAAATACGTTTACTACCATAAGTATTAAAAGACCATTCGTATGTAGTAAAGTACGTTTACTACCATCAGTGTTAAAAGACCATTAGTATGTATTAAAGTACGTTTACTATTATCAGTATTAAAAGACCATCAGTATGTATTAAAATACGTTTACTACCATAAGTGTTAAAAGACCATTCGTAAGTAGTAAAGTACGTTTACTACCATCAGTGTTAAAAGACCATTCGTATGTACGAAAATACGTTTACTACCATCAGTGCTAAAAGACCATTCGTATGTAGTAAAGTACGTTTACTACCATCAGTGTTAAAAGACCATTAGTATGTATTAAATTACGTTTACTATTATCAGTATTGAAGACCATTCGTATGTATGAAAATACGTTTACTACTATCAGTGTTAAAAGAACATTCGTATGTATTAAAGTACGTTTACTGCCATCGGTGTAAGTGCTCTGATGGTATACCACAGGTGCTTGTGTGTGTTTGCATAAATGATCAGACTAAGTGTTCGCATGTGTTTGTATGTGTTTGAAGGCTATGTATATGCAATAGCATAAATGATCAGACTAAGTGTTCTCATGTGTTTGATGTGTTTGAAGGCTATGTATATGCAATAGCATAAATGATCAGACTAAGTGTTCGCATGTGTTTGTATGTGTGTGGTTTACATAGAAGGCTAAGTATATAATATAGAGATTGATTCTACAGAAGTGGGGTTTCAATGGGTAAAACCCTAAACCCTAAAACCGAATTTGCGAAATTCTTGCCGTTTATTTGTCGTCCGAATCTCGTGACGCGCTCGTCTGAGACAACACCTGACCTAAACTATCGAGAATACGAGACACGCACCTGCCCCTAGCCCTAAAAAATGGACAGAGGACAGGGCCACGGCCTCCGTTATCTTCGCACGACAGTATGAACGCCACCAATAGGCCAGGAGGCGGGGCAGTACGACAAGAAGTGGATCCGCGTAATGCCTGTGAACACTGTGGATCTCCGTGTCAATTGAATTGCGGAGTGTTCACATTGTGCAGCATGACGCATGTTTGAACTTTTGTTTTTAAACAACCTACAGACACGTGCACGAGGGTGCCGTTCCACTGAGACCGCCAACGGATGCTCCCCAATCTCCATAGCCCAATCAATATGACACCGTGTCGACACTGGTTCACAGTATACGTATATATATATATATATATATGTGCTATTTATGCGTGTTTGCGTGTGTGTGTGTTCATGCATATCATCAACTTGTCACAGGCCTTTGTTCCCTCGTACAAAAATTCATGTCAGATTGAGTGCTTTGTAGCAGAAGTGGTATTGTTCGGCAGTCTGGATCATCCCCGGTCGCTGGCTTCGCATCTCCTTGACAATACTGTATACATCTACACTCTGGCCACTCGCAGCCAAATACGACCCGTAATCCACACATATGTATGTGCCCTGATTATGTTATTACAAAATGTGAAATAAATAAAATGGGCTATAAATAAACAAAGGTGATAGAAATAAACAAATGTGACGATGAACAAATGAATGA